TATATATATATATATATAGGAGCGTTCAAATAAAAACTTGCCCCATTTGTGTAAACCGTGTAAACCAATCTTATCCATCCATTTTCTTGATCAATGACTAAGATTAGTTTACTTTATTTTACGAAATTAAAAATTAAAAAAAAATAAATATTTATTTTATTTCAATACTAAGGGCAAAATTGGTAAACAAAGTTTACATTTTGTAACTCCTTTCCAGATTCATTTAATAACAAAAAAAAATCAATTTTTAATATTATAATATATTAAAATCTTTAAATMTTTYYATTCATATGAATATGTTTCATCATCATGAAACGAGTGCATGAACATGTACAATATTAATAAAATAAGCAAATAAACTATTTTATAATGAAACCTTCTCATATGAACATTAATTGCATAAAGAATAAAATATATTATGCACCCGTTTCATTATAATGAAATATTTTCATTATGCATACTAATATATTATGCACCCGTTTCATCATTATGAAACTTTTCATATGAACATTATTATATTATGAACCGATTTCATTATACCAACCTTAAATCAAGAATTCATTCCATAACAAGCTATAATCTTAACAAAACTTTCCAGATTCATTGAATAACAAAAAAAAATCAATTTTTAATATTATAATATATTAAAATCTTTAAATCTTTCCATTCATATGAATATGTTTCATCATCATGAAACGAGTGCATGAACATGTACAATATTAATAAAATTAGCAAATAAACCATTTTATAATGAAACTTTCTCATATGAACATTAATTGCTTAAAGAATAAAATATATTATGCACTCGTTTCATTATAATGAAACATTTTCATTATGCATACTAATATATTATGCACTCGTTTCATCGTTATGAAACCTTTTCATATGAACATTATTATAATATTATGCACCGGTTTCATTATACCAACCTCAAATCAAGAATTCATTCCATAACAAGCTATAATCTTAACAAAACTTTCCAGATTCATTGAATAACAAAAAAAAAAATCAATTTTTAATATTATAATATATTAAAATCTTTAAATCTTTCCATTCATATAATTTCCATTAATAAATTTCTTTATTTAATATTCCTTAATAACTTTATTATTTATCAAAAAAATAATGAAAATGACCGAAATACTCTTATTGATTAAATTTAATTAAAAAAAAATTGAATTTTCCTATTGGTCGATTTTGGTTTATACGGTTTTTTAGAATGACATGGTTTTCATTTGAACCTGCCCCTATATATATATATATATATATATATATTAAAAGCAAATTTATTAACGTTGGTTAAATTAACAACATAAGAGGAGGAGAAAAAAATAAACTGAAAATATGGCTCAACCAAAATTTAATAGTGTTGTTTTAAAAAGATAGTGCCACGTGGAAGAGACTGATTTGTAGGATTTATGGGTCGCATGATTCTTTGAAGACACCATATGGAATGCACGACAACTACATAACATGTGAACATGTGAAGATGTGGAGGTGCAATTATTATTTTTCGTTTTCCACATCTGTTCAAAGTACTGAAACTTAATGGGTGTTTGGTTCGCATATTATAAAAAAATCTGATTTGAATTTAAAATGAATTTCATTGATTAAATATTATTCTCTCGTTTGGTTTATTTTTTATCACGAAAGAAATCTTTAAAATCTTACAAATTCTACAAATAAATAAATTTAACATTATTTAGCAATTACATGATAATTTAATGGATATAAATTTTTTATTTTCATAATACCAAATATGTCTTTAATCCAAGATATCTTAATCTCATAAAACTCAACATAACCGTTATCAACCACTTTCGACCACCGTTGATCTGAATCATTGCCGACCACCGTCAACCACTGTTGATCTGAACCACCACCGACCACCGGCGATTACCACCGATCTGAACAAATACTGACCACAGTCGATTTGAACCACCATTGGCCACCGCCGATCTAAACTACCGCCGACCACTGCCGATCTGAACTACCGTTGATCATCGCCATTTGAACTTTCATGAACCACCAACGATTTGAATCACTGTCGGCACCGCCATTTAAAGCGCCACCAGTCTGAACCGCTGCTGACCACCAGCCATCTGAACCATCCGGGACCACCACCGATATAAACCTCCGTGGACCACCATTGCCATCTGAACCAACACGGGACCACCGCCATCTGAACCACCGTAGACTACCACCTATCTGAACCACCGTGGAACACCACTAACCTGAACCACGGTATACCACCACCGAGTTGGCTATTTTACATGATAAAAAATTAGCTATCAGGACACAATTTTAATATCAATTTAGTAACGTTGTTTGGTTTATGGTTATATTTTGGTTGTTATTTTATATTGTTTTACACATTCAATAATTATTTTATTAAAATACTTTTAGTTTTTAAAAAAATTGAAATTTTCAAAAAATGACATTTTGGTCATTTACCAATAGTCCATTCCAATTTCAAAGCTACATTTTATGAACTATACAAATAGATTCCAATCTATATATATCTATAAAGCAGAATCATGATAGATTGACGTGACATCTCCTCGACGCAAAGATCCTATTTTCCTCTTTTTTCCACATTTTGATTTTTTTTCTTAGCAATTTTGCAAATTAATGTTCACATTTAACTCAAAAACTCTTCCCTTTCTCTTGGTATGTTACAACTTCAATTTTTAAATCCCTCAATCTCTCCTTTTTTTCTTAATAATTTTGCAAATTAATGTTCACAATTAACTCAAAAACTCTTCCATTTCTCTTGATACGTTTCAACTTCAATTCTTTAAATCCTTCAATCTCTGGTTTTTTTCATTTATGTATTCTCCATTTCCATGTACGAGCTTTAAACTGCTGGTACGTTCTCCCCTCTTCTTTTCCATCTCTCATCTATGGTAGAAGGGTATACAAGAGTTTATCAATATATGTAACGAGGCATTGGAACTTGGATTAAGGAGAAGTCTCCATTGAGACTTTAGAATTTTGTGAGAATTTTGATTATTTTTGTTTTTGTTATAGATTCACTTTTGTTTTTATGTTTTTTGTAGTTTTTTAATTTGTAATTTTGTAAGAAAAAACACCAACAATAAAGTGACATTTTTAGGCATTGCAATCTAATTTTCTTTTTCTCGAACTTTGCTTTTTTTTTTCTTTCTATTGATGTAATTATTATCAATACAGTAAATTAATTAGACTAATCATTTTCGTTGGTTACACCCAATTTTTTTTGTTCATTTATTCCATATAACTCTATTTGTCATTTACATAACAATAATTGAACACACACACACACATATATATATATACATATATATATATATATATGTATGTATTCAATATATATTAATCAAAATATATGTAAACTCATTTTTATGAATGAAATTATGATCAATG